GCTTAGATAATTATTCATAGGGAATTTGGATAACATAGGTGTGCTTTTTATATCGCGCTATGTATAGAGACTTCAATGGAAGTAAGCCCTTCTATAACGCTAAGGTTTAATTTGTAGATTGCTATGACGGGAACATAATACACATATGCCAAAAATGCTACAAATAGAACGTAATTGTTAATGAGATACATGAAGAAAATTACACAAGCAATTTTGAAATGTCGAACCGTAAATGGATCTAAGCCCAATCAACTTATTTATTTTTATTAGCGTTAATACATCTAGGTGCGCCATTCGAGTTGCAACCGTGTATCTTTGACTTTGCGTCTGTTAACCGCTATTGCTAGACTTTTTTGCAATAATACATCGTTCAATTTGTTCAATTGACCTTGCTAGACATCTGCTGTAATAGTTTCATTTGGTTTTAGCAGCTCGTAATAAATTAGACTTCGCTGATCCCACCACATGCACAGCAAATTTTATGTCCACGAATATTCCACTTCATAACAAGCCAAGCTCTTTTTTTGCCTACCAAGCAATTAAATCACGATATTAAATTATTTCGAAAAGGCATTTTCGATTAATTCGCATAGTAGTCGTTTTCTATCGTCTGGGACCTTTTCCATCGCATGTAAACTTCTAGAAACAGTGGTTTCATCAGCTGCTTTTTGTCCAGCGAGTCTGACAATTCATTGTCATCGAACATATTTGGCCCCATTGACATCAAAATAATCATTTGAAGCTTTGAAGCCAAAACCTACAATTGGGATATGACTATATTAAGGAATATAAAAATCAAACGTAAATCTGACTTTAGAGTATAGAAATAATAGAACTGAGGGAAATAATAAATTTAAAACCAATAAATACCCTATAGTGGGACACCAGCTCACTTAATATAGTTATTCGTATAAAAAGTTGATAATATCTCAAAAATTGCGAGGAATAGGTTGGACACAAGAAAGTAAGACCGGAAAACAACCTTAGAAAGAAGAAGGAAAGATGGGTCTACTTCAAATCTTTTCCATGCACTGCAAATAGTGTAGGGTAAAAACCCTAATCCATTTAATTTAATTTGCTGCACGGCAGCACCTATCATCATGTATGATAAAGCTATGCCTTAAAAAACCAAGCGTAATCTACATATGAATTAAGTGAATGAAATAGGTATGCTGTATATGAATCTTGGTATTTACAAAGTTCAATATTTTGTGAAGGCTTAACATTTTACCTACACTGCTTATCTACTCTTGCACTTCATGATTTTTTGATGTACCTGCAATTGAGATACTTCACGACCTCAATCAGTTACAATTCCATCTTAATCAGTTACAATTTCAATTATTTTACTCTTATCAGCCATCCTATCCATCCTCAGCGATAACAAGCAGATGGAATAAATACAGACGCCGAGCAAATGCAATCTACCATCTCTCTGTCGTTTATTTTACGGTATTGTCACTCCATTATGAAAACATTTAAGCGAATTGCTATCGAAATATCAAATCAAATATTCATAGACTCTGAGTTGTGTAATATTTTAACAAATACACGCATATGTACGTATATGTAAGTAAATTAATGCATACGATGCTTGTTCTTCTCATTATTGGGACAATTTCCGAGTGTTATTATTATATATACATACATATATATTTATGGTGAAGAGATATACAAATATGTCATGTATATGTTTGCTGCTGCAAGGGTAAGTGGCTGCGTCAATAGCCATTTTAACGCGACTCATTTTAGGCCAGCAATGATATGTGACAAACGGTAACAATAGAGAAATACATATGTATTAACGTATATGTAAATATGTGCAATTGGGTGTGTATGTGTGCCTTAACTTATATATACCCGGGATTATAATCGTAACTGTATTGGTTGCATAAATAATCATAACACAAATGTGTGATAATAATACATGTGCGGTAATGTTGCATCTTGTCATAAATATTCCTACCATATATGTATTCGTATTCCACATTTGCATACACACATATACCTGGTTATATATTATATTATCATCTGTGATGTGTTATTGGCTGGTGTCGGTGATAGTGTTAAAACTCAAGAGTCAATTTAATCCATAAAACAAATGAGGTCATGCAAAATTATTAAAATGGATTTAATGGTGAATTAAACATGCACACCCACCCGCCCTTCTGCAAATACACATAAACCCACGCACACACATACACAACAATATACACCAATACATTTATAGGAATAAAATCCCATACGATGTGTGAGTAATATTTTCATACGGCAGACACAAATTGGCTTTATTATCTTTATGCATAAGTCAGAGTTGCCTCCGTATGTTGCACATAAAAAAATTAACTCCTAATTATTAATTCTGCTCAAAATTCATATACAGTCACGTTTTTTTCTCATACACATGCACGCCCATAAACTACAGCCTCCGCTAACATAGAGATGTTGAAAGAGTAGGAGAGAGAGAAAGAGAGAGAGAAATGAAAAGTTGTCTCTTGTGTAATTTCATCTCTCTAACTTTAAAAGTTTTTCTTGTATTTTTCCGTTACTTTGATTTTTGAGAAAATAAGAATTAATAATTTTCACACGTCCCTTGTTTTCAAGAATGAAAAAATCAAACCAATACAGAAAAAAATAGAAGCAAGTACGAGCTACTACTGTTTACTTTAAAATCTTACCATGTTCTAATGAATGTGCGGTCTCTTGTTGTTTCATTTTTTATCTTCATTGCACTAGAAAATCGTTGCTATGTACGGCAAACAATATGTACGGCAAAGTACAGACAATTTTGTATTACAAATAGATATTTCATTATCAATATCATCGTGATGGTCTTCATTAGTGTTATGGCTATCATCATCACCATAATAATTATCATCATTATCATTGTTGTCCAATTTTCAACTATTGTGTGTGCGGTTAAAAAGTCATTATAATCGAGAAACATTTGCTGTTGTTGTTGCATTGACACCTAAGTTTTGTGGTATATATAGCGTTTAGAAACTTTAATAGCATCCACGTTGGCCTAACATCTGTTTGATTGAAGACTCTTTTCTACATGTTTATATACTTCAGGAATTTCCTCACGTCACGTATCGTTTGGCAGCTCAAGGGGGATGACAAGATTATTTAGTTAGTGCTAATAGCATGTAAAGTATTTATTTTGGCGAATTAAGGAAAACTAACATAACGCATTCTCAGTATTCAATTGGAGTAAATTGAAGTTTTACAATTCTTTTTCATAGTGTTATAATCATTATAATTTACACCACTTGTGCTACAGGGTATATTAACTTAGTGCGGTCGTATGTAGCAGGCAGAAGGGCTTAAGGCACACCCACTTTTTATTACACCGTTCGATTCAGAATCAGTATCTCAAATGATCTAAGCCTGTCTCTCCGTCTGATGTCTGTCTCTCCATGTAAATTTGTGTTCAAGCTAGAGGTCGCAATTTTTGAGATACCTTGATAAAATTTGGTACCACGACGTGTTTTCGCCAAGGACGAACGCTATTGAAGATATTTCGAATCAGTCCACATTTTCGATCACTCTCCATAAAACGCCATATTCTAAAACTCGTTATAAGGACAAAAATTATAATTTTCAAAATTTGTCGACAAAAGTGGCTAAGTAATAGTAATTCGGCATTCTAAATTGGTATAAAAACTTTGGATTGGCTGGGGCAATTTTTGAACTCCCTCTCATATCACCTACGCCTGTTTTTGGATCCTGCCCTATCTAAGGGTTGAATTTGTGCTACATTAGATTGCGCTTTGGGCCCGCTTCCCCATAAGTACGCACAGAACTAATATGCCTTTATGTATAAACACTTGTATTAAGATATTTTTTTATAAGAGAAAAAGGGAGAAAAATAATTAACAGTTAGTTGATATATTTTCTAATTTTTTGACATCAAAAGGGAAGCCCGTTTGTAAGCGTAAAGATCGAATTTTTGATATTTTCTATTCTAGTACTTGTGACGCATACAGGCAAAGAAAATTGTTATGTATTAACTATTTGAAATCTTTGCTATGTTGTTGTTGCAAGTACAAGCAGACCATACTTTATTGTAAGTAGCTTTGCATATCCATATCTCTCTAGTTTTTATCTTATGAATTATTACATGCAAAGCCAAACTCCAAATTACCGTTATATTGCTTCCCATTTGAATTCATTTTTGTTAAAAACTTTTCGCACAAAACTTGTAAGTCTCGTTATAGGAGCGGCAAAACAAAAAAAAAAAAAAGACAGAAGCCGCCGTAGCAACAGTAATTCTAATCTGTTTATCTACAAGATAAGCACTGACAAAGTAACTTTGCCATAAAATCAAAACTTTCCGGCTTGTGTTGTGTAGGGCAAACGTACACATGTACAGAGAAATCTATGCAGTGAAAAGAACCTTAGGGCGAATTTTAGATACCCGTCTCACAAAAGAAAGAAAAGCAAAAAAGAATAAGCAAAAGTCCATTTATATGAACGTTAGTTAAAGCACTAAAATCATTGCAGAAGATCGGCAGTTATTGAAGAACACATTATGAAATTTGATATTTTTGTCCTCGAGATTAAGTGCGGTTTTCATCTGTTATGCAGGATTTTCATTCTTTGAATGTCCTCAGTCTTTAGATCTAGCTTATAATATTAAATCATGAGCGCAGGGTCTTTATTTCTTATTTCAAACTTTGTTTTCATCACTTTAGTGACTATACCATTACTTTCTACAAGGACATATGCTTAAGTTTTACAAAAGTTTGCCGTAATTTGTATTCTTGCAGACGTCGGGCTTAAGTATAAAAAGGTTTTTGGATTACCACAGAAACACCCACTCTCTGAAGTCCATCATGTAGCTATACCATTAGAATACCTTTTCGATTATTGTTGATGTTTTCATAGTAGGTATATAAATATGCTTAAGGATGTTGTAGAAAATAAATTCATATATGTTTCATATATGATGGTGTCGGCATTTTTTAAAAAAATGTTTTTCTGTTTTTTGTTTTTAGAGAACAAGCCAAGGCAGGCATCTAAGAAATACGTTATTATCGCTATGAAAGCATCGTCGTCGTCGTCATCATCATCACCATCGCTATCGCCATCAGCAGGAAAGCCAGTACCAGCATTCGTTCGAAAAGCATTATTTGAAATTTTGGGTCTAACTCAACAGCAGCAGCAACAACAAGAGCATCATGAGCATATGGAGTTGAGCCAAATCGAGTTGATCTATCGTGCTGAGGGTAATGCAAATTTGGTGCTTGCGTTGCCGCAATTTAAAAAAGTTTTACGTTTGCCAAAAATGCAACAAAATCAACAGCAACAACAACAACCTTATCAAGAAAGTAAGCATCAAGAGCAACAACAACAGCAACAGCAACCGGAATTGGCTTCAACTACCGGCCATCATTTAAACCAAAAAGGTTAGTATTCGTACACATACACGTGCACTTTAGACTTACAAAAGCCAACAAACACCCATCAGACACAATATAAATACATGCAAACATACAACTTTGGTTTCAACTTCAGCAGTCCTAGTGTTTCAAGTACACGAAATATCTCATTCCCTGGTTGTTGTGGAGAAAGAGGTGTCCGGTTTTTTTTTTTTTCTCTTTTTTTTTGCTTGGTATATGGTTTTCGTTATTGTCTCTACTGTTGTTACATTATTAAGGTTACGCCTCGGAAATTCATTTCATCTACAATATAGTTTGTGACTATTTACGTTTTGCTGCTGTCGTAACTTCAAATTATTATCCAAGGAATGTGTTTATTTCATTCATTTTATATAAATTTTAGTATGCTTGTGCTTCATGTATTTGAGAGTGCGTTTGTCATTTTGCAAGTGTCCACAACCATATGTTTATCTGACTTACAATTTACAATACATTTTATGTACATTTTACATATTACACGTAGAGAAAAACGGTAGGTTTCTCAAATAGAAAAACAGAATACGTTGTTAAGTTGCTATTCAAATATACCCGGTATTACGACAGATCTATCTTTAAATAGATAATAAGGTAGTTAATTCGTCAAGTATTCGTAAGGAAATAAATAACTTACATAAGTCAAAGTTAACAAGACTTCTGCACTTGCCTAGTACGATTGAAATACTTTAAAAAGAGAGATTTGAATATAGGTTACGCTTTCTTGGCTTTTCTACTGGTATCTAGCGAAGATAGTATGGAAAATCCCATTAGTATGTTTAGGCGACGTGATCATATTGAGATTCCAATACCTCTATAGGCGACTTATTCAACTAGCTATCCCTGCTATATGAATTGTGGTGTAAATGCTTTCCACTGGTTTGGGGAACATCTCCAGGCAGAGCATAGCGAATAAAAGACGCACGATCGTATTTTACAAGAAGTACATGGCGATAATGAAGTACGTAAATCAGAAATATAATCATGGACTGTAATCGAATCATCCCTTGCCTTCCAGGTTCAGAATTTAAACTTTTCTTTATTTTTTTACCAGTAGATAAGAAAAAATGCTATACCTTAGGGATAAATGGATCAAATTGATACACTATTGACAAACGTGAGGAAGTCGGTACCTTTCATTTGAAAGCATAATGACAGGTTAGAACTCATGACTTACATGAGTTACTTTATAAGTTAGACATAAGATTCATTTTGAAGGGCTTGCTTAATCCGGCTGAAATAAACAATGAGAATTGAGGTCGGAACCGACATTTCTTCAAAATGAAGGATAAGGAATTTTTAAGTGACCATGTCTGGTAGACAATACGTGTACTGATTATTAGGCAAAGACTAAGGTGAAAGGTTCTGTACACATTGTAAGAACTAGAACACATTGCCGGAGTTCGCTCTCCGGCGACACAGGGGTTTTTACATAAAAATTTATATATCTTGCCTGACCATCCACTTTCCACCGAATCTACCCGTATGATTAATTGGGAATCCAACAATATCCGGAATGAAGCATTAGCGTTCACTTTATTAACAATCACATATCCACAAGATCATAAGACCTAACACTTTGCTATCCTTTTAGGATTCTTTAGATCTTATTTCAATTTACACGTATTGTTTAAATAATTCTTCACAATATCATTTAGAGAGAAACTTTCCGTTCTCCCATTCTCTTCGGTGGCCTTTGCCTTTCGGATACTCGAACGCTTTTAAAGCCGTAAGCAGACCTTATTTTCAACGTGAAGTTAACTCGTTTCTTAATCTAACCGTAAAAGGTATCTTCCTCGCTCTCACTCGCTCTCTCTTGTAAAGTCAGCTATTTCTTTAGCGCGCCAGGAAACCTCAAAAAATACGCGCTTTAGCTTGTGTAGGCACTGGGAAAATTTTTTGCTGACAAACGATGATACGTTTTAATTGTAATGATTACGTAATTCTTCAATATAATTAATCAAAGCGAAAAATTAAGTTTCAAATGTAGAGGGAACAATAAGTGAAAAGTGACTGACTGAACGAGTAACCGAATTGAACTCGCTCATTATTCGATAAAAAACTGACCGAATAAAAGATAAGAATTGCAAAATACTTAATCATACTTTTTGCTTTGGCTATTAAAAGTAATACTGACAGTCAAAAGTTCAATCAAATTTTTAAAACTTCAAAAAACTTTCAAATAAAGGTCATTTTGTTGACCAAAACCAAAAAGGTTGTATGTAACAATATAAAATACATTATACGTATATACATTATACATCTACTTACTGAAACGATTTTCAGATATTTAAGACAGCCTAGAAGATATGCTATGAATTGATGATCGATTCAAGTTATGCTGTAAACCTTACGGTCGGCCACAGTCATTGGCCAACTATTAACTCTTTTCCAGTTTTTGATATTTTCACTCCTACATTATGTTAATGTGTTTTATTTGTTTATTTATTAATCTTCCTTATGATTTTCTTTGATATATTATTCTTTATTTTATTCCATTTTTCTAATTTTTTTCTCAGTGCTTTTACTTTGTCGCTAATTCATTTGTTTAACTGTTTACAATACTTCGTGTGTTTTTATTTTTGGCTTTTCATTTTAACAGCACATAGTGCTACTACTGAAAGTGATGTTGACGGTGATAGTAGTGGTGAATTTTTGACAATGGAACACTTTGTGGCATATATCGGTATTATACGTTGTCTTCTGGGAAATGAGTTTATATATGAAGCGGATGCTGTAGACTTGCCAAACCCCAGCGCCAGGCATTGGATAAATCAGCATATCAAGCTACATAGACCAGGTATTTATGTACATGTACGTGTATAAGTTATACAAGTTAAGTATTAAAGAAAACGGAAAAGAAAATAAAAATTTTCAATTTTTCTACACGAAAGTCTCACAGGATTCCTGAACTGTCCTAGCACCACTAATATTATTATTTTATTATGGTCATAAAGCAAATAGAAAAATGAACGATAGTAAAGGAATTCTAAATACATTTGGGTAAAAGAATTGCAAAATAGTTTAATGTAGTAGTGTATGCATGTGTTTATGGTATGTACTGGGAGACAAGTTTTTGCAAATTCAAGCTTTTTTTGCAAGCACTTATTACTATTTAGAATTTAATCTCCATAAATTCACCCATATTGTTTACAGTGCGTTTCTCGGGTGAAGGAACGAACGAGTCACCTTCAGACACAATAAATGCAATCAATCAGAAAATTCCATTTTAGTTTCTTCTCTTCAAAATTTGCTTTTGACTTTCTTTGTGGCATCTGTAAAATTTGAAAAAAAACCTTTTTTTGCAAAACAAAATGAACAGAAAATATGATGGAAGCTAAAAACTAATATCGAGGAAACAATCACTTTATATGCAAAAATTTTCCCTATAAAGCCTCTTTTTACTGTGCATACCTTTTATCAACAATTCCCAGAACATCGTGAATGCTGGGATTGCATTCCTCAGTTGCTATGCTTCTCACTTTGTTGAGAAAAAGGAATTTTTTTATTTTTGGAGAGTTGTTAAATTTCCTTTCAAAAATTAATGTTAATAAATTTATTTATATTATTTATTTAACTTTTTTATTTCTGTCATTTTTTAGCATAATTTCTATTGTTACATTTTGTAATATTTTTATAGCATATTTATGGGCTTGAAATTTAATACTGTTTTTGATGTTTATTTTGTATACTTTTTCTTTTCCTCTCTCAGTTAAACGTTTGGACAAAGGGTTTTTTGGTTCTTCTGGTTTGCTGTTACCAGATGCTACCCAACTGCCGGTCGAGTTCGATATTTTATTTTCAAATTTACAGGTAAATATGGAGTTTTCAATGTGTTTATGATGTACATAGTAAAAAAAGAAAAAAAAAAACTACTTCAGTTGCTGGTAAAACTAGAAGCTATCGTTTTTTACAACATTTCTAATGCTTAACCAATACAGTTGTTGGTGGCGGTAAATGCCGTGTAGGTTTTTATGATTTCTTACTTTTTCGTTTTGCCGCTTTCCAAATAGGTCCTTCTGTGTGTGCATCAGCGACCAGTGTTGTTATTTCCTGCCAACACAATAAATCATCCAAGTAATTTCTTTCGTTTTCATTTATATTGCTCTAGTGTACATTTTAAGTTTATATATGCGGTCGGAACGGCTTTCGACTCTTACGGAGTCTCTTTCTGCATTTTTTTATATTCTTTATGTACATATTTGCCATAAATATGTGGATGCCCAGACACTTTGTTGCTTGTTATACATACCACTAACAACTACAGAGACCAATTGATTTTGCCACTTAAGGAAATGTAAATGAAAATTTATTGCTTGAATAGAAGCATTTTTATTAAAAAGTTATTAAATTAATTGGCAATTCTAACAATGATCTTTTGACCCGAATGAGATAATAAATGAAAAGCAGATGTAGTAAATCTTAAATTACATAGGCACAGTTATAGCCGTGAAAGGCTTTTAAAACAAAGCGAACTGTCGAATTAAAGTTTCACAGTGCATCTAGGAAACTAGATAAGAAAATGACACATTTTCGAACCTAACTTTATTCCTCAAAATAATCTCCTTTAAGATTGACCAAATTACTTCTTTAATATCTCAGCGGCTTCTTCAGCCACGAGGTTTCAGTTTCTGCAATGACCTCATCATTCGCTTCAAATCTTTTTCTCTTGAACATTCTTTTTCAATTTGCAATCAAGTAATAATCGTTAGTGTCGAATATGGAAAATGCGATGGTTGGAGCAGGAGTTCAGATGTTAACTATATAATTTTTTAGGGTAATTAGGTAGGGAACGTGTTATAAAAAAAAGTGAAACAATATGCTAATGTTAAATGACGTCCAACGAACACCAAATACATTTTTCAACCTTTTTTTATAATTTCGATAGCTCTAATGTTAATTTATAGCTTTTAAATAAATATATATGTATATATATATATATTGCTTTTAAATATGAGCCATCTTTTATTGATTTTCGATCATAATGCTGCTTTTTTACAAAACAATTTTTGCCTGCCATAGAAATTGGAATCAAACTCAGACACGTATGCTGTAGAAATAAAACCGAAACAGGGCTGGTTATGGGATATTTATGACATTAACAATTTAAGCGGTAAAAAGCGTGAAACAGCAGCACCTACAACGCATGTCCAACAACAATGTGGAATGCAAGGTTTACCTAAAGTATCATTGCCATCTCGAGCACCGACAAGTTGGCATGACAACCGTGATGATGATATAAAATCTTTCTCGCAGGACATCAGGTGCCGCTATTGCAGTATGCAACTTTTAAAGGTAATTGCTATAAATAACATTATTATTCGGAGGTTTGCCTTTAGTTGTCCAAAAAAAAATTTTTTTTCAAAAGTCAATTCAATAAATTTTTATTCTAATCAGGGCAGCGAGCGATGTGCTAATTATTATTTTTTTTTTTTACTTCCTTTCTAACAGCTGTAGATCAAACGTAATATATGTGTGTTTTCCGTTAAGTTATGTACATCCGTCTATCCGCTCGTAATGTAGTTTTTCTGGTCACTTATCTATTTGGATGTTAATCTATTCATTAACGTAGTAGTCTTGTTTCCAGATTCCTTGCCTGTTTATCTTTTTTGTCTTCAATCTACTAATTTTTCGCCCATGCGCTTAAAAACCATTAAGTTCTAAAAGCTGAGAAAAATCTTGAAACATTTTTTAGACGTTCTAACCCATCTCCAATTAATTAAAGGAGCATCGAATTCCTTTCAAAACAAATATTTTGTTCTTATTTGCTATCCATATATTTGATTTTCCTCCGATTTCATCGTCGTCTTCTTTCATTTCTTCCATTTCTTTCATAATTGTCTTACAGTTAAAACAAGAGAAAATCCGTCAACTAAGCCATTATTGCCCGATTAATTTGTTTTCCGGGTATGTATTGAGTTTTGTATATCCTCGACCAAAAATATTGGTTTTCGTTTTATGTTTTATTTCATATGTATATATGTTATTGTACAATTTGTTCTCTCTTTTATCTCTTGCAGTTAACATTGTGTGTAAAAAAATTTAAAGAAATTTTTTTACGATTTATTTACTGAAAAATTTTCTTTCCAGTGTTCCTGACAAAATGTTTAATGCTTTGCAGGCATTGTTCGAATGCCCACAAAATAACCTACGCATATATCGTAATGGCCAACTAATTTATGATGATCATCTCAGTGGAAATTGCAGTATTGAACAAGTTTTTCCAAGGTAAGCAAATATATTTTCTTATTTACAAATTTTTGATTTTCTGAAAACTATTTAAAAGTACGTAAAACCAATTCTTCTTCACGAATTATTATCCAGTGTTCCGTAAGACTTTTTAATGTATCTCTTAACTTTATTTATTTTTTAATTATTTCCCCTTCATTGCTTTCTAAATCATGTTTGACCAACCAATAGTTTGATATGTATTTAAATACCTGTCTGCAGGAAAATAGGAAAAGAATAAAATAAAAACAATACAGAGAAAAACGATAAATAATGAAAATAAATTTTATAAGCACATACACACAATCACATGTGTACATGTGTACGAAACCAGGGTTAACGAAAATAGGAAAACCAACAAAAAGGGGAAAAAAAGAAGCAAATTGCATTTACTCCTTTCGTTATGTCCCTGCTGAATTGCGGCAGAAGTCACACTGGATGGACACACTTAGTGAAGCTTCAAGGCTTTCAGCTAAACTCTTCATTCTCCCCAAATAGCAAAGGAATCCAATGAAAGAACATTAAATAATAAAATAAATTGTTACTCTAAAGACCACATAGGAAAACCAACATTAAAACTTTTAAACACACACTCAAACAAACAAACATGCTCTTACTCGTTCTGAAAATTTTGCTGAAATTTTCGTATTTTTACCATGAAATCCTTTAGTGACAAACTACAGATTATAAAACATTTGCTGGTAACGTGTCTGTTAAGGGACTACAGTCAAGAAATTACCCCAACTAAAGATGATAATAGCAAAGCTAATACAATAACTGTTAGTTGCGTTGATGCAGCTACTATTGCTAGTAAGTTGCACTCAACTGCAACCTTAACAGATTGCCGGACAATGTTCAAGTGTGAGAATCTTATAAAACAAAGGCTCCAAAAGAGAATAACGAACGCGGACACCATCACTACCACCACCATTACCTTCACCACCACCACATTGTTGCCAACCATAATAACCAGCTCAAGCATGTCAACAGAGCAGACGGCGTCAACGGCAACAACGGCTACAACAATATCCTTTTCTGTAAGCCCCGAACAACATCAAAATGACAGCCAAACGGAAATGCTATGCTTACCGAAAAATTGTATCTTGCAAAAAATTTTGCATTTACAACTATTGGCTAAGGTGAGTAAAGCTCTGTAGAGAATCCACATTTTTCACACATTTATATAAAATACTCCAAAAAAAAAAAATTCTTTGTTGTAAGTTATTTAAGAAGTTTAATACAGGTTTTAATTCATAATTCCAGTATATAAGGGGTATTCATTGCCTAATTTAAGGCAGTAATTATAATTCTTTTTAATTGTAATATATTTGGCTTTTTTTTGTTTAATATTACACAATTTTATGGCCTACTTTTGGGTTAAAAAAAAAATGCAAGTGTAATTTTTAATGGGCAGAACGGCATAAAATGCTTTATCGAAAAAAATCTTTCTCTTCGTATACTATTCTTCGAATAACTATTCTACGCGAAAACCTTCGAGTCTTTAGAACGGTGGTAAACAAATTTGAATTTTGATCTCATAAAAATAAATTTATGTTATCCCTTAATTCCACTTCTGATTAATGATATTTGCAACAGTCTAACTTGATTAGTAGGTGAAACACTCTAGTGAACTCGGCACTGATTATGAGATGGCAATAAGACATAAGATGATAAATGAAAATTTATAGAAAGACAACAAAATAGCTTTGAGAGCTCTCCCCTTTAACCCTTTGTCTTTTAAGTAATTTAGAGATTGTTCATGTTCGCCAAGTCGGATACACTACAAAATTACTTTAAAAAAAACAAAAATAATATTTCAACCGCCTGTTTGTCCATTAAAAAACATCAAGAAGACGTCAAAAATTTCCTATCATCAAATGCCAGTATAAGAAGATAATTTATTACCTAATTTAAAGCCAGGACCACGGTTTTCGATATCGAATGCATATCTAATTCGACATGATTCTTAATGGTGTCGTTTTACGAGTTAATACAACGTAAGCGGTGTCGAATTGAAAAGTGTTCCAATCGAGGTATAATCAATGTTGTGCTTATACCATTATCAGTATGTGAATGACGCACACATAGGTGTGTAAATAAACACGAAAGAGAAGAAGAAAGTAAATAATCAAACAAGCAAAAGAATAGTCGAAAATTATTTTTAATGTGTATACATACACTTTAATTATATGTTTATAATCCTTCAGTTCTTCTTTTAGAATTTTTAAAATATTTTTTTTGTTCCTTTTTTTATACCCTTTTATTCTATTGCATCAGAAAATAAAAGTGTCAAAAATAATTATTTGCTTTGCCAATAATTTTGGAATTTTTGTAATTAACGAAAACAGGCAGCCCTTGTATCTAGTAATTGTATCAAATTTGTGCTTTTCATAATAATATTTTACTCTCTTATTTATGCCCTAACTAGTTCGCCTGTCTGTCCGCCTTCTTTTCTCGTATTCAAACTGTGTGTCGCAAATTTTGTAGGTATTTTTCTGAAGCTTAGTACGTGTTATTGTTTCAGAACGATCGCTATTAAAAATGATTGAGATCATCGAACTTTCTCGAAAACTTCTAATATAACAGCTAATTTTGAAAGGTCGTTGTTTAAATAATGGTGTGGGTATTTAATTGTGAGCCTTGTCCCCGAGGTCGAAAATTTCGTTCATTCGGTACTAAGAACAATTCATGCCAACTACTATAAATTCACTTTTCGATACACCAACTCGACAATCGACAACTATAAAGCCAATCGTAACAATTACGATCGTGATTACTGAACAGCAAACCGGCCCGAGCAATTATAAGTCTTCTTAAAGCTTTCTTTTCATAAGTTTATATATAAATGCAAACTATGTCCATTTTTCATGGCCTACCTTTAAGTTAAAAATGAAAAATTGATGCTCACATTCCTATGGACACAACGGCACACCCTCCTAATAAACAGAATAGCTTTCAAAAGAAGGAGAAAATCTTTTGTAATAATTGTTTACTATTAAAACTTGAACAGAATAATTTTTGCGAGTCAAAACGAGTATTTACTTACTATACTTTCATGAGCCATAACAAAAATAACTCAATGAATAGAATAGATATTAAGATATCAAGCTGATCAATGGTTTTTTTTTTGCAACATTAATACTTTTCACTTTTCATCTATTGCATAAAAAGGAAAGAGACGAAGAAGCGATGCATATGAAAAATTCCAGTGAAAGATATAACACGTTTGAAAAACCGTTTCCTGAAAATGATTGCGATAAAGTGATTTTCATTTAAGAAAAATACCCTTAGATAGCTCACCTTCCACCAGCATATCATCCAATTTTAAACTTTTCCAGCTTATCTGACTCGTTCCATTTTTGTGATTTTCACTGCGTGTTTTTTTAGAAAAATTTCGCGTACATGCTAAGGCAGCAGTATGCAAAAAAATTTGCCAAAACCTATGGAGATTTGCGTACGTTACTTAAAAAATTTAAAGACAATCATCAGCGTATAGCACTGACACAACTTACGCCAGAGGAAGAATATCTGTTGGCTGCTACTGCTTTAGATTGTTCCATTATGATAACATTCAAAGAATTAAAGAAGGCAGCAGACGCAGCAGAGAGGTAAAAAGTTTATTTTCCATTCGTTTCTTTTCATCTTCAAGCTTCTGTGTCTTCTTCTTTTTCGTTACAGTTCCTCGAATAGCCCTTTTGTGGTAGATTTATCGGCATATGATTGTAAATTTTCAACGAAAATCGCCTTATTGGACTTGGATCCAAAGCCTGACAGTCATTTCGCGAAATATTATCAGCAAACTGAGGAAATTTTAAATCTCTTCAAAACTTAAAGGTAAAAATAAGGTGCAATTTCTAAACGCAATAATTTTGTAGAAAAACTACGTATAATAATTTTTTTAACGGAGCTTAACATACTTTGACTTTAGTTGCAAGGGTTTACTTGTTTCATAAGCATTTAAATATACTACCATGTTCAAAGAGTAAAACTAGTTTAATTTTTTATTTTTTACATCTATTTATTATCCTGAATCTCTATTTCGTCGCCTTCGACGTAATTATCGAAGTTAAATAATATTTCTTGTTAACAGTGTGGTAAAAGGACTTTGCAGCGCGCAACACCATCGATTAAACTGTTCATTCCGGATCGTATTCAAGTCTTCTTTTTGCTCGCAGCATTACACGTATTAACACCTTGTATTTTCGCAATCTCCGCCTTATCGATAATTATACACACGCACTATATTTGTTATCCTTAGCAGACCAGCAGCAAAGATGCTGTACTTAGGTCTCATGTTTTAATAAGCTATGTATGTAAGTAACTGGATAATTTCTTTATTACTGTCTTAGAACTTTACGGTGTGTAAGAAAAGGGCAGAGGATTTCGTATGACTTTCTCCTATCGTATGAATAATTTTATTAAGCCGCACTCTTAGCTTGCTCGATTGTTTTCGCCAAGATTACTTCAGAAATCACTATGAAATAATTCAAGCGAGTTCACCGTTTATGGATCATGGATAAAATAAAAAGGAGTAAATTATCTATACACTATTCCTTAAACTTAATTATCTGTATAAATTATGTTTATATTAATAAAAATCAAGTTTAGAAATAAATTTTAAATGTAAGCAATTATAATAATTTCTAATTACGGCACCTGTTACAAACTGTGCATTAGCACTTGTAGAAGTGTGTCATTTGTCGCTGGTTGTTTTGTTTTTCTCTTCTTTTCGTATTTTGGTATGTTAGTGGACACTCTACTTTGTTACATAACAAAGAAATACGTTCGAGACAGGTTAAGCTCGCCATTTATTGTAATTGTTATAGGTATATTAATTTTGGTAAATGGGTTGGCCTTTGGCCGTGTGTCTGTGTTCGGTTTTTGAAAATTTATGGTCGAGAATACTGAGAACTATCTTGAAATCGCACTCGTACGTCCTTCAATCCAAAATTTAAAAAAATGTAAGAAGCTTTCATTCTCGACTGATTATGTAGGACTGCTACTTGATCATAGGCTTTGTTCTAATTTCCACATAGAACTCCCTTTAAATAAACTTAAGTAAGCGCTTGGTTTCATGAGACGGTGGACTAAGGAGATTCATGGACCTAACGCTATAAAAAGGCTATACTCGCCTTTAGTAGGATTAATAATTGAATATGCATCTGTCCTATTGTCTCGGAAGCAACACTTGGTCTTTGCTTGTCCCTTTGTCTCCTTATGAAAGCGGATCGTTCTTGTTAGCCTTACCATGACCTGAGAAACGTACATTTATCCTCCGGGTTTCCCTCTTAATAAAGTTAATATAAGGCACTGTCGTTTATTCGATTCTTAAATCAACTCTCCTAAATGCGCTAAGCTTCCAATCTTGATGTGTGCGTAGAGTTGGAAAATTGAACTAAATTTTTTCACTATTGTGGTTTGCCAAGCTTTTGCATGTTTACAACGGCTTGGAAGTTTACTCCCAACTGGGCTTTGCGCTCTCTGTGAGTGTGCTCCTGCTCTCCCTCTCTCTCTCTCTCTCTCTCTCTCTCTCTCGTGATACAAACTACGGCCTATGCTGTGAATGCATCAAAAGTTTTAGGCAAAGATATTTATGGTCTGGTATTGCCGTAATGGAAAAGCTGCTTTGCGTCAATTACGTGTGTTGCTTGCGATAATTGCGGGCAATAGAAAATAAAATAAGTCATCTACCAGAGTCGGAAGAATTCTCGGTGCACTATCCACTGTCAATACCAGTGTGATTGCTGGCGGACAGCTTCATGCATTCGTTTATGCTACACTTCGATCTTTTTTTCTACATTATCCGTGCATACTATCCATTTTTCATATTTCGTTATCAAACAAAATGCAAAAATGCTTCGGTTTCATTTCGCAATTAGATATTTGATCCATTAAGTTTTTCACTTTTAATTCATATGATATTCATATCTATCGAGATTTCGTTGGCAGCCGTACCTGATAAAAACTATTCAAAAGCATTTTTTGAACCAATGTTTAGTCCTGGAGAATCGGTGTAGATACTTCCGAAAACAGCCATGGCCAGTCAGAAACTGGATTAGGTAATAGTTTACTTCGCCGTGGCGTCTTTCAACCCATCGTCTTAGGCTAGGGATAAGAACAAACGTCCATCTTCCTTTGGTCGTTCTTTCCCACCTCGACTGCCAAATCCTTAACGAGGCCGTTCGTTCGTCGCTTTTTATAACGCGCGAGGGAAGCTCGTTGCCGCGACGCCGTTCGTAGATGCGGCTCATCTCGTCGGGCAGAATCTCGACTGGCAGAGGGTCAGCTAGCAATGGCGCTGCTTTTTCCGACAAGGTACGGAATGCGCAAATCTGCCTCAGGGCGCTTAGGCGATGTATTTGCGCCAACTTTCAGTACAGTGCCCTCACCTTGAATGCACCGGCCAAACTGGGCTTCCGTGCATTATGATCGAAGTTATTACCGTGGTTATTACCCTTCGGTTGGTGAATCTCGGGCCTCTAATATTTCGCATGATCCTTGCTAGGGACGCCTGTATGCCGGCAGCTTTCTCAGCCGCGTACTCAACATGGTGCTTGATATTGAGTCAATGGTCAAGCATAACTTCAAGGTATTTAAGGGCAGGAGATGACCGCATCGTGAGCTACCCGACTCGTATGCAGCATGTTTCCATGCGCTTCCTGCTGCTTTATTAGGACCGCTTCCGTTTTGTGCTCTGCTAGCTCGAGCCCCATCTCTTCTAGCCACGACTTCACTTTGACGATAGCCCCGTTAGCTTTCCCTTCTACCTGCGCGACGTATTTTGCAACCACTACGATTACTATATCATCGGCGAAGCCGATGGTCGTTACCTCGGCAGGAACGTTAAGTTCGAAGACGCCGTTGTACATTATGTTCGACAGGAGAGGACCAAGGACTGACCCCTGTGGGACACCCGCCGTTATTTTATGCGATTGTTTTCCATCATCGCTATCGTACGCTAACGTGCGGTTCCAAAGGTAGCTTGGAACCCGCATTCTTATGAGGGTTTTGCGGATAATCCCCTAGTCCGCCGAGTTGAAGGCGTTTTTTACGTCTAGCCTAACGAGAGCGCAGTACTTTTTATTACCACCCCTCCACCGATCTCTGGCTACAGCGTCTGAGGCAAGCGCCACGACGTGGTTTATGGCACCTATCGTAGACGTCTTTCTTCAACCACAACTAGCAGGCGTTCATATACGACCCTTTCCAATACCTTGCCCATTGTGTCCAAAAAGCAGATGGGTCGGTATGACGATGGCTCCTTCAGTGGCTTATTGGCCTTCAGAATAAGGACCAGCCTTTGAACCTTCCATACGTCTGGGAATGTTCTTTCTTGCAGCAGCGTCATAAAGACGTCTGGCCTCCTTCGTATCGCTGCCTTTAAGGCCTTTTTTGGGACTGCGTCGGGGCCAAGGGTTTTTTTTTGTCTCCAATCCGTTTTCAGGCGCTTAAAGGCTCGTCGGCAGTAATTGCTGGTATCGCGTCCTCTTCTCTGCCGTGGAGGTTTACCACAGCATACGGCAGCCTCTGCGGGAAAAGTGTTGCTACTATTCGCCGGAGCGCTAGCGGACACGTGATTTGCGGCGTTTTGTACCCTCTGAACTTCTTTACAGCGACTTTGTGTGCCGTTCCTCACGGATTAATATCAGCATCCTGGCATATTTCCTCAAGCTTCTCCTTTTGCTAGCTCTTATGGCTTTCTTTAAGTCACTGCGCAAGTTTCTGTAGACTGTGAGCAGTTCATTAAAGTTTTCCCTTCCTCTCGAGCGCTGCACTTTTCTTTTGGCTTTCAAGCAATTCGCCGTTAAGGACGCTATCTCTTCGGTCCACCAATTGCATGGAGATCCTCTTCTGCTTGTATTTTTTCTTCCTGTGCCAGCAACTTTGTTACGTTTTGCTGGAGTTCACCAGCTATACCGTCACCACCCTCGTAGGAGTCCATAACGGTGTTAAAGACACCCTCGTTGAAGAATGCAACTCTCCGCCTCTGTGTGTGTGTGTGTGTTTCGACAAGTATATTCATCTTAATATTAACGCATAACTTCTTACTGCTCACGTAAGCTACGTTGGGCCAGCAAAGATGACGTGATTACATTTTGCTACCATAGCAAATGACTTTGAGGTTTGCTTTCAAAGAAAAACAAATGCATTAACATCAAAATTCATGTCATTTTCATTACTACTGAAACATTACCGCAAATGCAATATTACTTTATATTACATTCACTATATCTGCGCGGGGTAATGGGGCAAAAGGTGAGAGACATAGGGACACCGTTATGTCGTAGTTACTCATCCTTTCGATTACGAAAAATTAAGTTCCAACCACTAAGAATACATATACATGTAAATTTTGTGCATATGTGTGATGTCAGTTTTGTTCTTATTGCCATTATTGTTGCTGTTGTTACCGTTCATCTGTGAATAAGATTTATTGCTGCAACAAATGATATTTATTTGATTTTATTTGTATAAGTGCTGGTCCCTTATTCAAAGGAACGGTGATTTTGTCTTCTTTTATATTTGTTTTTGTTGTTTAAATTCTTATATGAAATGTTGAGAGGAAGTCAGGAGCTCGGAGTATGACGTGTTCGAATTCCAAAAAGGATAATTTACCATCACCGTCAACATCGGCTTCCTCCATAACTTTGTCGGCTATTTGTTGATGTTCCTCAGGGCTTAATTCATTTCTGGTCATGGTGGTCAGGCAGGCCAGCAAGTCGTTGCGCCCTATAAAACCGTCCTCATCAAAGTCTGCATAAGGACGAATAAGGAAAGCAAATTGAATGCCAAATGAAAGAAAGACAAAAAGAAACAAAAATACAAAAAAAATTGTTCTTTTTAATGAAAACAAACCAAATATGTTCATATATACACTCTATACACATATATATTTGCAGATGTATATATATGTGTACAACAAAATGAGGTGAGAGTGCGTTGAGAAAGATAAATGACTTCATAAACGTACGCACAAATTCATAAAGAAAAAAAAGCAGATATTTTTGTTCCTTCTGTCACTGTTTTTGATATTTTCTGGATCTACTCTTGTTGTTGTTTATGTCTGACGCATTTAAGTCGAGAAATTGGCCTCTTTACACCCATTAGCGAAGAATAACGTGTATATTCACTTTATCAACACGTTTGCAACGCCCAGAAAAAAAGCTTCAAAGATTTCGAAGAGTCTGCGCATTCTTGATTAGCAACAAATTCTAAATCGAACTAAGCCTGTCCATCCATTCCTCTGTCCACGTGCGTAATGTCTGCTGTACACATTCGATGAAGGTAGCAAAGAAAAATTTGGCAGAAGCATTGGAACTTCTTGAACGCAGGCAAGTATTGAAAATGGGTTAAATCGGCCCAAGGACGCCCCTACAGTACTACGTAAACTAAGAGCACGTCCATTTGTTAAAAAAAAAGAATAAAATTCATCTTTTGCTTGCTACTCATAAACATCAACGGATAAACCCAGAAAAACATATATCCTATGGGCAATGCTGCAGTACCTGTTCAAAAACGGGAAAAATTGACCATGTCCGTCCAATAAGTAAGCTTCAAAAATTCCATAAACTATATAAATTATTGGCCAATTTCAAATTCGAAATTCATCTAAGCGGTCTGTTTATTCGTCTATCATGTTATATCAGTGGCAAATATTTCCCCGTTCGCAAAAATGAAGATTTTGCATACAAACTTCCAAGTAAATTTAAAAATAACTCAAACAGGTCCAAGGATAGGTTTGCAAAGCCCACAACAAAAAGTGTGAACACGTTCGCTTTCCGAGTTCTTTTCTTGTGACTCATAAAGTACAACACAAACACCAAATAAACTTCCATTTTCATTTTGAATAGAAAAAATCAGCTGCGCCCACATGGTATTACGAAGTATGAGCGTTTAAGTCTTTTCCTTTGTTTTTAGTTTTTTTTTTACGATATTGGTGGTGGGTATGAAAGATTCGACCATGATTGAGTGTAATTTTCTTTCTTGGCTTTTTTTAGCGTTTAACTTTTCTTTAGAAGTTGTAAGCCCAAATGCACACTCGTTTCCAGATACCCGAAAAAAGAAAAAACAAAAAAACCCCAGCAGTTCTTGCCCATAAATTACACAGATATACATTACTTTAGGTTTATATGTGCGTTGCTGTCACAGAGCAAATTCGAAAGTTTTAGGTTTTCATATGAGTTGAATATTTTTTCCTTCTGCTATCTCTCTCGCCATCTCCCGCTCGCTCTCTTTCTTCCTCTGTCTCCATGTTTACCATACCGTGCAGACTTGCAGTAAAAATTTTCAGCTTCATTTCTTTTCCTCCCGATAACTGGCACCTGTTTGTAACTTCCCTTCACATTTGCCTTTGTCTTCGGTGTCAATATTTGCATAAAATATTTCAGAACGACTATAAACTTTTGTTTTTGACTTTAGCTCTGTCTCTCCCTATGTATGATCTTACACATGTGCTTACGAATATGAGTGCGTGTGTTTAACAGTTGGTTTCTCTGTAACATATTGACTTAATGCCTTGTGATTTTGTGATTTCCCATTACAGACATCTCATGTAAACAAATGCATACGTGGTCATCGAGCACATCGAGTACATTATGCTACTTATGCTGTAAGTTCTGTTACAAGCTTTTCTCGTACTTTTCAATAATTAATGAACACAGTCAATCAAATGTTTGCACGGCTATTGGATTATCTGATTTGTTGAAAATGTTTTTGTTTTGTTCCGTTTTTTTTTTAATTTTGAAAATTTACCATAAATTTTGAAAGCATAAAATACTTTAATATCACGCGGTGCCTGTTCACTGAATACCGATAAAGCATCGAGAAAATCTTCAAACGATAGATCGCCTTGACCGTCACGTGAGAAGGCCTCACAAATCCGACGACGAAAAGGATTTTCTTTTAGTTCAGGCATTTTCTCAATGCAATCACGAGGCACCCGAACTGTAGAAGCTTCACCTTCGGTCATCTGTCGCGGCACCAAGTCAGGGCGTAATTCACGAAAGCGTTTGTGCACACTATGCATCATCGGAAAAAACAAGAAAGAATGAAAGAAAGAAAGAAAGAAAAAGAAAAGGACTGAATTAAAAGGTCGCATATATACGAAGGTGAGTGACATGTGCTAAATCGACATTGTCAACTTTTAAATGATACATAGAACGTGATAAGAAGATTTGTATATGCATGCGTGAAGAATAACCTTCTTACCGTAAAATCTCTTTGCGTGTGAAAAACGTGCAATCCTTTAAGAGTGGAAGTCATCAGGAAGTAATGTTTGAGAAATGCCAAAAAGTATATGAAAAATAAGAAAATGTTTTTTATCAAACACCTCTTAAAGAATTTTGCTTTTCTTGTTGTTCTATGATTATTACTTTCTTGATCATGATTGTTTGTTAATACATCGTCTTTCTTTTTAAGATGAAACTTTTTACTTTATATAAATCTAAATCTTTCCTTTCTAAACAAAAATAATTAATCATACTTTTACTTTTTGCACCATTAGCTTATAATAAAGAGTCTTCAATAAATCTGAGATTAATGTATGGAGGTTCGGAGCAATGTTTGAGTAAGCATTACGCGCTTTAGATAACATATTGTTCGATAATTTCAGGGAATAGCACACCGACGTCGTCTCTAACGAAAAATGCACATTACTTTTAAAAAGTTTGTCCAATTCTCAAACGGCTTTTATCAAAATTGCATTTCATTTCTATCATATGCTTATGCTTCTTATGTGTGTAACGATAGAGCCCCTACGTTTTCAAAAAGACACCCATAATACTGAACTCTGTTGACGCGATTGCACGGGAAAGTATTAAAAACCTCGTAAAAATTATTCACGATAAACGGAAAATGAATTTAAAATACATTGCTAGCATCATAAAAATATTAAAGTTCTGTAGATGCATTATACCGCGCAAAAATGTTGGCATCAAGAGGACATTTAGTTTATTCACAGTAGACAAAAATATAGACTTAGACAGCCTTCACTACGAAAGAAGGCATGAAAACGGGACACAGCGTGTGTGCGTAGAATAGAATCCGTGAACTTCACCTGTTCCTGGAGCAGTTCTAACTAAACACTCAGATCGCTGGCAGTTTCCTTGATGAATCTCGGGGCGTCTAAATTGTTTGTCATTATTAATACTCAGAGGCTTTCCTTTAAAAATTCTACGTTACGTATTGCAAATAGTTTATGAATGATCGGTCAAGTTCAAATTAGAATTGGTTAGGATGCTCAAACTGATTTACAAATATTTTTCATTGATTTAGTTCACAATTCAGTTTTGTAATTAGAGCCGCATCCGGCCAGAGAAGAAAATCTACTCTATTTCCAATTATTGTGATTATTATTATTGCAATGTTCGCAACGAAAAGAAAAAATTGCTTTTTTTAAAAGTTTTTTACCTAAAGGTTTAATAATATTGAGAAGAATTTATTGTAGTAAAGCAATGTCATGTTAAACAATAATTCGACATTTTTCCGACATTTTTCCATCACTTTTAATATACCACGCGAAACGGGGAAAAAAATTAATTAAATGTGAGCTGGCGGTCAACTTTTACTTACACGTTGCCATTAACCTTTTACACTTGTTGTTTTTATATTTTTAAAGTATTATACAAACACTGCGTTGGGTTTTTCTCTTTTTATTAGTCAATAATTACGTTCAGAATTGTTACTATTGATCGAACAAAAGAAAAAAAGAGAGCAAAGCTACCTGATAGTCATCCAGTTGTTGTTCAGTGAATGTTACAATTTTGTTGCCCATTTTTATTATATATTATTGGAAATGATTAAACACAACTTCAAAAAAAAAAAAGAGAAATTGTTTTTAAAAAAAAAGGAAAATTTTTTTTTTTTTAAATCGTTGAAATATCATTTACATTGAAATAACTAATTGTTAACAAATTGAATTTTTTTTTTTTTATAGTAGATTCCTGTCTTTTTTTATACAAAATCTATGAGAAGCATAAAATTTTTAAATGTTTTTTGTAGAAATATCTTTTTGTTTTTTCGCTTGAGCTTGTTTTTCTGCTCGGCCAGCACTGTGAATAATTCTAGCGTGTGATTTTTTCACAACTAAAACCATGAGTTTGGAAAATGTTTTTGCCATTTCTGCTGCTGCTGTTATGTTCTTTACGTTCCAGTTATATGTACATATGTGAAAGGCTGTTGCCTTCGTGCTGTGTCTGATAAAACGTTCTTGTTGTTGTGGTTGTTGTTATTATTGTTTTTAAATACATCAACAACAATAATATCCTGCCAAGAATTTTGCGTTCACAGCTCTGGGGGGATGAGTAAGGAGGTCAGGTTGTTGAAGGCGTAGAAAGGTATAAATGTTGCTTGGGTTTAAATGGTTCTTTTCTCATTGTCTTCTTTATACATATGTATTCATATGGAAATTAATTAAGGCGTGTTCACGCGTTCGTACTTACGTGTACGTATGCGTTTGTTTAAGGCAACGACTAACTTGACAGCTTGCTTTTATTGTAATGGTCTGTGTCTAAGGTTTTAGGTGAGTCTAGCTATTTGTAAATGGAATTTTGATGAAAGTTTTATAAAATGAAATGCACGCAGCAGTCGTCTGAAAGTCATTTGTTATTGTTTTATCTATTATTCATGGTATAAATTAAAAATTCTTAATTCAATTCTTGACTCAATTTTATTGTAATTTATCTTATCATTTCTATTTTTTAATATTCATAATTATCATATCTTGGCTTTTTTTATTTTTACTCTTTATTTTCTATCTTTTTGTTTTCACTTATAATTCTATACAATAAATATGTTTGTATGCAAAGGAAATATAGTTAGAGAGTTTATATTAAACACTTTTTTTTTTGTTTTTTAATCACTTCAAGAATTTTTAGTATACGGTAATGGGTTTGGATGTGTGTCGACGTGGGTGTTTGTATGCGTCTGCTAATGTATTTAGATATACGCTAATGCAGTAGTTTAAATATACATATATTTATTTTAATTTATGCCAAAATTGTTTCCTTCTTATTTATGTTAAATTATTATTTTTATTCTTTTCATAAAATACCAACAACGTATACAGAGCGTTATAATTATAGTTTTATTTTTGGTTACCAAAGTTAAAAAGGCGAAAAGAAAACAGAAGCAGAAGTAAATCAAAGAATATTGCACACTTAGCGTTCAAAAACAAAGTTTCCAAAAAGTCAAATAAAAGTCAATGAAATAATTAAGGAAAACATGACTTTCGTTCCGTATACCAGTATATAACAGTAATACTAGAAAAATCTCAGGCATTTGTTGCCCGTGGATTTTTTCTTCCCTTTCCCCTTTTTAATAATTTCCTTATACAGCTGTGTGTCAGGCGTAACATACCGGGGGACCGTATAAAAACTTATTTATTTTAATTTTTACTTCTTTCGTTGCTCTTCTATCTTCTCTCAAGTCTGTCCAAAGGCACAGCCTAGCAATTAAAGATCTGATGAACAGAGATATTTTCAATAGCGTTTGTCATTAGACCAAATTTCATCAATATATCCCAAAAACTATGACTTGCAGGCTCAACAGAAGAATTCATTACGCCAGGCGGACAGACAAGGGATTGGTGTAAAAAAATGTGAATATATTCCAGGCCCTTCTGGGTGTTGTAGACGTCCGAATAAACTTAATATGTTTTTGTACCACAAGTGGTGTAGGGTATAAACGACCTAATACTAGAAATTCTACAAATTTTATACCAAAGGATAGAAAGGCAAGAAATCATTAGTTTCATGATTCGTTCGTACGTTCACGCCAGACTTAGCCGACTTTTGGCATTAAGCTGACACGAGCGATAAGAAAGAAGAATTTTATGTTAAATTTGTTAATCGTGTTAAAGTTACCAAGATCGATTCAGAACCGTTTTCATTCAGGGAAGGTAACTGAAGTCCTTTTGGATGTCGCATACATCTGAAAAAACTTAATATATCTTTGTGTCATTGGTCGCGTAGGGAAAAATGGATAAAAAGTGATATAAAAGAAAAAAAATTGGCCTTTAAAGTGCTTAGGAGATTTAAGATAATAAGACTGCGGCATTGTAACATACTTTTTGAGGGGATTTTCTCTACATTGAAAACAATGTTAATGATTCTTTAACTATGGTTAGCTTCAGAGTTTCTCATTTAAGAAATGTTTGACAAAAATTTTCAGATTCAATCTAGTAGCTCATAGTAGATTTTCAATATCAAGAATTAAACGCTCAATGAACTGGGCTTTACTTGAGATCTTCGTATATGAGGGGTTTTGTTTATCGAAAGAAAAACTTTTTTCATTAAAAGTTTGTTATTATGATCATAGGCGGGTAAAGTTATTAATAAAAGAGCTTTTCTTACCCATTCTTAAGACTTCCTGTTTTCCTTCAGACATTATTCTGTTAAGCCGCATTTTTCCGTGCGCTCGTACTACGCAATATATTCTGAGAGTTTGAGTCGGCTTAGCTGCCTCATTTGGCGATTATTAGTAAGATTTTGGAATTTTCATGTCTCAAAATTTAAGACAAAAGACTGAATGTAACTCTACAAGTTTTTAATGCCGGATATTCAAATAATTAAGCTAAAAGCTAGTTCATCTGAAGTCTCAAAGCCTATAGAACGTACAAAACAATACTAAACGTTCCTTGTAGGGATATTGTTCTCCTATTTTAGTGGTTTATGCGACACTTGTTCTAATAACTTTTCCACCTTTGAACATCTCGAAATCTACCACTGAGCCACTGAGCCGGGTTATAATAAAAACTTCAGCGATATTTGTAAATTGTTAAAATATTTGAAGAAAATTCCTATACGCTTGTAACATGATCACGGTCGGAAAGAAGTGAGGAAGGGAAAACAAGATGGTCAATGGTCGCGGCGTAACGAAGGCTTATCATAGAGCTGTGTAAAATGTAAGAAGAACATTGCGATTCTATCCGAGTTTCCAGGTTATCTGCTTTGCAGTTAAACATAGGCTTATTCCTGCTTGTGTAAAAGAAAACGTTTCGTCGTTTCCTTCGCGATTCAGTTTGAATAAAGTATGCGCTCCGCTTACCCAGTAGATAAAAATCTCGGCTGCCAAATAGCTGTTCGGGTATTAAAAACTTGGTGCAGTTTGATCGTACTTGAGTGTAGCTATAGAGCTTGCTTAGTAAAGCCATAACATTTGCTGATTCGGCACATCCACTGGCTGCGGACACAGTTTGCCGTCTCTTGCTTTTGAAAAGATTAACTTTTGCCTCAAACTTAAAAGCCTTACCGTAGTTGTATAGAAGACCTTGTGGCAAATTTTGGGCAAATTGTTGAGTCTGCATCCGTGTCGGGTAAGTTTAGCTTTAGTCTTGAGCTGTATGAATAATACATATAAGGGAATATATGGATTTTCATCAAAGCAAAGTCATTTTCAATTTTTGTTTAAAATAAACGCTTCGAAATGAGAAAATTTATATGAAAGCATTTGTTATTTAATTTTTTTTATATATAAAGGGAAGCAACTTATTAAAGCCAATATGGAAATGTTCTCATGCGCTTCATGCTCGATTTGCTAGCTTACTACTTCTAATTCGGCTGATAAGAATTCATCATTTCTACTGCATCAATCAAGAACAAGAAGCAATATATCACAAACAGACAGAACTGAATTACAGCAAACGAAATATTTTGAGAGGATCTTTAAGCAAATTACGTCCTCCATGTGATCGGATATCCTGACTTTTTAATTCCTGTCCTCTTGCTGTAAGAACTGTAGAGTTTTATTTTGATTTTAAAACGAGACAATGGTGTAAAACTACAAATTGTTTCAAACGAAGTAACTCTTAACAAAAGAAAACAATTACATCAAATTATATTAAAAAGTAAAATTATTAAGACGAAGCAAAGAAAATATATTACATCTATCTGAGCTTGAATGCCTTGCACAGCAATGTCTCTTAGTCTGAAAGATCGGTTTAATTTTCAAAATATGAATCTCAAAGACGAATTCTTTCACTTTTAACAACCAATTATAAAATTGAAGTGGATTCTGTCTATTTCATTACTTTACAGTAAAATTTAATCGTAAAAAAACGCATTCGAAGAAGACTTTAATGATAAAATCATATTAGAATTATTAAAAACCCAGTTAATTACATTGTAATCGTATACATAATATTTCACAATAGCGTTTATTTTATTTATATTTTTTATTTTTTAATGATTTTAGTTAATCTTTAATTAATGATTTTACCATTTAAATGTCGTAATAATTTTATAAATATAATTTTACATTTAGTTTTTTTTTAATTGCTTTTTTTATATTTCTTTCTTCATAACTTTTTCAGTAACTAACATTTATGTTACTTTTTCTAATAGTTTCGTTATTAATTTATTTTTTATTTTTTTGTTCAATAATATATATTTTTATTATAATCATATTACTTCTTATTGCGTAGCGAATACATTTTCTCGTATACATGGTATAATTCATTTATAGTCTGTAATTAGGAAATTTTTCATCAGTTTTTTTTTCTTATTGTTTTGTCTTACATTATCAATAATGAATTAGTAATAAATATTTACAATTAAAATTATTTAATAAAAAAAAAAAAAGGGAAAGTTTTAATATGAACTTGATATTTATTTATGTCGACCATTATGAAAAGTATCTTAAACCATGTATTTTTCTTCCCAAAATATTTTTAAAATTTCATAATGAATTCAATTCTGTTAACAGATGGGTCAAGTAAGTCAATTTAATGGATATTTGCCCTAAGTTTGTAGCGCGGAAAACAAAACACACAACTCTAAATTCATTTTTAATTTTTGACTTGGGTCATCTCTATAATTTATTTTTTAGTATATGGGCTCATTAAGTTGATTTTGGTACCCTATGCCTCTTGTGGTGAAGGGGATTTTATGTTTGTTGGGATGTGTACTGGATCCAGAAGGACTTGAGATAGATCCATCTTTCTTAATAGATTTAGGCTTGTCTGCCAATATGCCCGCCTGATACCTGTCCAGGTATTTTTGTTACAACTTTATTTCTTTGTAGTTTCAGGTGGTCAAGAATGAGATGACAACGTATTCTGTCGATGCAAAAGGTTTCCAACTTGGCTGAGTCTTACTAGTGTGCGCGAAAAACAATGAGCCCAAAAATTTTTATATTTTATGGAAGATCGTAAACAATACCTAACGTAATTTTTTCTTCAACAAAATCACTTATCATAAATATCGGAAAGAACAGTTTTTGTGCTGTACAAAACCGAACGCATCTGAAACACTAATGACAATTGTGATGTGAAATGTAACGCAGATATCTGTGACAGAGGCACCAATTTAGCAAAAGACGTTGATTTGAAAACCAAGATTTTTAGGGTTACACAGTATTACATTGTAGACAAAACATAACGTCGGTGATCATTAGTTTAGGTCCGTCCATCCAACTTATAAGACAGATAGCCCCAGATCACTTCACCACATTAATTAATGTGCGGCTTAAGAAGAATGTGCGTAATTGTATATCTAACTGTAGCTGGCCAGTGCAGATTCAGACTGTATAATTTCCGTAGCATCAGACATATTCTAGGAAAGACACCGCCCTAGTGCACGTTAAAGTTAAGTTTTCTGTCCAGAATTACCCCCACATGTGGCGTACCGTCCATCCAATCACTAAGTTTCCCACTTAATCTAATACAGAACTTGCAAGAACTACTCGAGAAGAGTTAAAAAGTATAGCTTTACTCTTACTTGCGTTGATATAAAGCATATTATCGATCATTCAAGAGATGATGCGTGCTAAACATTCGGATTCCTTAAGATCTTTTGATGAAATTTGGTACACCAATGCGTTTTGCCCCACCGGCGAGCATTATTGAAAATATTTCGGATCGGACCATTTTTTCGATCAGATTCCATATAACGCTTTATTTTGAGAAGTGATCATGTCAGAAGGTTTAAAGTGTTGTTAACAACTATCTTAACACTTTACTAACTGATCGGCTGGTCGGTTAAGCGAAGAGATGTTCGCCATGGCCAACTATTACGTTTTTTCTTGTTAAACTATGGATTATGAATTGAAATGATTGTGCCGTAGGTGTGGGGCTTTCATTATCCTCAAATTTTATTAGTGCTGGTGCTGCCTTCATATGAGTTTGTGTACGATATGCCAGACGATATATCCGTTATTGTAAATGTCACAACTGTCTACCGCTTTGTCACAAAACCGAATCTATATTCTAACCATTTTTTTATCTCTTTTTTTCTTAAAAAGGCTATTAATGAAGGGTTGCATCCGTTCTAGGAATTTTCGTCATTTGTTAGTTGTGAGTGGAACGAACCGAAAGTCTTTCATTTATTATATAAGAAAACAAGATCTTAACCATCGAAGACATTTTAAGCACAGTTTGTGACGAAAACAGTCAATAAGTGTATTGTCATCTCATTTCCTTCATTCAATAATGTTAAGTGTTAAGACGTTGATGTATAAATTTGCGAATTACTCAGATTACACGTTTTATCGCTAATCATATTCATCTCAACTCCTTCTCAGAGCATATATTTTAACACTAATCGCATTCGTTTCAAGAATTGAACACAATCGACACAATCAATTCGTTTTAAAAATTGAAACGTATTTGATTTGTTCAAGAAATCGATCAATCCAAATTGAACCGTTGTATCAAGTTTCTTTCTCGTTAACCTTGTAACAATAAATCCGTCTTTTATAATAAAGGTATATACCGAGGACTTTCCAATCAATTGAGTTGTGATGATATATCATTTGCCCAAATTACTTCCCACAACCTATTAAAATTCATTATATACGCTTTCCCTTTACTATATAACCTTTCTGGCTGGTTAACATTTTCCAACATTTATTAATTGTAAAATTTTTATATAAAAATTAAAATAAAAATATTGCACTAGAGGAAAATAACGAATAGTCTTTAAAAGCTTTTGCACGGGAACACTAACCAAATTCATTGTATTTTATGGATTATGGATTAGTTGAGAACAGTTTTAATAAAAAAAAAAAAAAAAATCTTTCAAAGTATTTTGCTAGTTATCTACAGGGCTTTTATCTTCTATTTTTCAAGCCCCGGTGGCTTTTTCTATATTTATAATTCCTTTGGGTATAATTATTCGTGAGACTTTTGTTTTTTGTTTCTCTTTTTGCTTTCTTTTTTTAAAAGTCATGGTTCGGAAACCCATAGTCGGAAAAGCTCTCAAAGCTTTTCAATAAATTTCAGTAGACCGAGTTATGATGTTCGTAACTATTATGAGCGGCTGCGGCATGATGTAAGTACGACGGTATAGAGGCGGTGGCATTCAATTCGGAAGCTCTTCTCCTCAAAGCCGCAATACTATGACCGCGCCAGACATCATCTTCATTAGAGCCATCTGTCGGCGATTGCATCGATTGATGACAGTGCGGTAACAATTGTTGATGACCGGCAGATACTTGATTATTAATATTACCATCAGTACTAGTATCTGTGTGATGTTGTTGCTGTTGTGATGTTTGCTGTTGCTGCTGCTGTTGTTGTTGTTGAGTTTGATGATGATATTTCGTTTCATGCTGGTGACTTTGCTGTTGTTGAGGGTTATTTTGAGGCGGCGGTGGTTGTTGCTGATGATGAGGTTGAGCGCTCTATCGGAAAGTGCAAGAATTAATACATTTACCCTTATCTATTGTGAACTTTAAATTATGTAGAGATATGTGTGGCCGCAATTGCGCGTATGTGTTTGCGCTCTCTTAGCTAAGCTTACCATTTCACCATTCATTTCATTTTGACTAGTATTCGGTTGGTTGGACAGTGGCGGTGTCACTGAAGAACAAGAATTTATATTTGGCGGTGTAGTAGCAGTAGGTGAGCCATTTCCTACACAACCCACTCCACCGCCACCAACACTATGCTGATACATCATGGAATCTCCTAAAGATGGAACGTTACGCACAAGATTATATTATTATTATTATTATTATTTTTTTTTTTATCTTAACCTCTGCAATTGCAGTCTTATTAATATGAGTTATTTGTATAAAGTAAAAAACATACCTAACGCATTTAATCCATAATGTTGATAACTACCAGCACCCATGGCGGAACCTAAATTTATACCAGAATTTAAACCACTATTTAATGAAGATGAAAGCGTAGAAGATTGATTTAATTGACCAAAACCTTTATTCATAATTAAAAATGTTAATAAATTTAAGAGAACAGAGTATTGAAAAGAGAAAAAGAAAGAAATTTTTAAGCACTGATGGCACCGTATATATATATATATATGTATACATATATATACATATATATATATGTACGCATATGTATGTATGACATGCAATTTGTCTTTATAAACCATGAGTCATATACTTACCGGCTGTCATGGGATTAACGCCAACACTCCAGCGATCACCGCCGAACATACCGGTCCCACATAAACTTTCACCCATAGCTATATTCGTGATATTTGCTCCGAATGGCGGTAAACCGTGAGAGGGCAGTAAAGCTCCGGGTGTACGAAAGACATTAGTAGTCTTCTTGCGTTTCTTCCATTTGGCTCGACGATTTTGAAACCACACCTTCGTAAAACAATACAAAACAAAACATTACAATTAAATTTTTCAACTCCATCCATTTTCTCTTCATGTTTTACATGTATTTAATCAAGATCAATTATGACAAAGTGTGTTTACATACACTTCATTTATTTGCATATGATTACGTAGTCATATAAAACCCAATCTTCTAGTTACTCGTTCTACTTTCTAAAACTATGTCTTGTTAATACATGTTGTTACATGTTTCATGTTAATGGCCGCTCAACCACAGACAACTCATGTTCTTATAACAGCATGTACATATATATTGAACATGCAGTAGTAATGTAGTAGTAGTAGTAGTAGTACCGGTTTTACAATAGTAGTGTAAGTCAGCAAACTAAACCTCTATATTCTGGTATTAAATGATTGAGATTTACTCATACTTCACACTTTCAATCAAATTTAAAATTTTAAGATTTTCGTAATGCATATATATGTGCAAGTGTCTGTCTTCAAAGAGGTAACAGTAATTACTCGGCTAAAAATAAAAAACTCTTGATGCCAACAAAGTTGTCAGTTGCCATTCCGTAAAAGTTATTGTGTGACAGCTACATGACTATGGACGTGTAGTAAGGGAAGACACTTTCTCTTCCGGCTTTGGAGTATTGGAAGAAAGTTTTGCCTACTTTAAAATCAAAAGATTTTACAGGTTATGTAGCATATTTTCAGGCAAATAAAATGTTTTTAATGAATGCGTGAATATTGTTCTTCAAACCGACAACTAAGAAATATCTTTTGTTGGAAAAATAAGGATGGTTTTTGTTTTGGATTACATATCTGGGCATTGCCAAAAGTACTGTTTATATCGATTGGAAGTTAAAATTTGGTTACTAATTATATAACTTAATTGCCCCAAACACTTTCGATAATTAGGAATTTTTTTTGTACAAAAATTCATATTATATTTTGCTCTTGTCATAGACCTTTTAATATACTTTATCGATTGCTTATATAGACAAATCTTTCTCGTTGAAAAGTTGAAATATTACATTTCGTCTTTTAAACGCTTAAAAATTTGTTAAACATTTTCCTTAATTAATAGCATTCAAGATATAATTTTAAGTCAAAGGAATCACTTTAATACATGGAAAAGTTGATAAATGTGGCAAAATAAACACACTGATAAGTTATTTACAAGGCATGTGTGGGTGTAAGAATGTAGAAAAGGACCCAAGATCCTGCTCTGCCTCGTATCGCAAAATCTATTTAAGAAGCATTAGTAGCGTTAAATTGCAATGAAATATTCTTTCCGCTGTGTTCAGTGCACGTTGACCTTTATGGTTATTGTCTGCTCTAGCGGCATCGGGAACTCCACATAAAGAAATCACCGAAAGTTGCGAAGGTCGTCTGATTGCAAAATTCTTCCCCTCATAATCCCTTACTATGGAATCCCGAGGCTTATCAAAGGTCTATACGCTATTGAGGAGATCAGAAAAGTAGTAGTGTGATTGGGAATCCGGAATTCCTGGGTCCATACTTCTCCTTAGACACTGAAAACCCACAAAAGAATAAGGTTGACGGCCCTCTAGGATCTGTGAATAACACGATTTCAAGAGTGGCTATATATCAAATACCGGCGACAACGTAAATGCATTGTTATCCGAACTGTAGGGACCGTGGGCGTCAGGACACCCAATTCGATAACTCACAGGCGCAAAGAGTGGGTGCATGTGAAAAGTCGGCGTGGGTGTAATGGATTGGCTCACCGCTGCGTACCGTCTCTCGGGGAGCATCGTGATGGATGTGCATTATCTCGATTTTTTGAATAGCTGCATAGTATGTTGCTTGGTCTTATTAAAACTTTATACTATATGTTAAGCTGTCCAACAGATGGCCTATCAATACGTTGGGGTAAAAGTGAACTTGCATCACGGCGAAACCTTTCATTTGAAAAAAAAATACGATTCAGTGGCGACACAACCGTCAGCGGTCACTAAACTTTGTGAATATTACTACGTTTACACACACACAACCTTGATCAAATACTCCTGCACACGAAAGCAGTTTTGGACTCAAAAGATTTACGGGTATCATTATTTTACTTAGGTGCTGAACTTATATCGCCGCAAACAGCTGCGTGACAGCTGTTCTTCAGTAAGGTAAACAAGCCATGTACTGACTCAAATTAGGCACAAAAATCCAATTTCTAGTAAAGATACACCGCCAAGAAAACTCTCGCTCGCTTTCTCGCTTTACCAACTGCATTTTCTATTATAGATACTCGAAATATTTATAAAATTTATACGAGAAATTTGTATTTTTTGACAAGATATCATCCAATTATTGGATAAGGAAATTACAAAGATTACGCAAATTTTATTTAAGCGTATACTTACAGAATGCAACGTACAAAGAATCTCAAAAAATTAGGCGACATAACTTAAAAATAGAGAAATAACTGGGGCGTCCTTATGAAAAGGCTCGGTTGTTTTAGCTTACATAAAATGCTGTTCACGATTTTCCGATGAAAATATATTAGACTCATTTTTTAATAGCTTCAATAACTTCAGCGTTATATAATGAAAAAATGTCAATTTTCGTCAATTATATGCAAGATTTCTCTAAAATAGCTTGGTTTTTTTTTTGCCTACACTTAGGCGATCATTTTTAATAAAAAGTGTAATATATGTTTAATAGAGAAAACTGAAATTTTATTTCAATTTTCTTCATCTGTTTTTTTTTTTTGGTATTTATGATCTCACAAAGTTCCATGAAAGCAAGCAGCTGTCCTCATTTTTGTTTTTGATCCATTTTTTCTCTCAAGTAAACACATTTATAAATCATTGTCAAAGTCATTATTCATGCAACCTACTGATTGCCTTTTCATGTCTTGTTAACTTTTTTCATTTTTTTTTATTTTTGTTTTGTTATCTCTTATGTTATTTTTTCTTTTTTTTCACGTAGTCTGTTCATCACATTCACGTTATTTATTCATAAGGGCGTAACGTAATTTTACAGTCAAAATATTTTTTTTTACGGCATTAACATGTAATTTGTTTTTTCTTTTCCCCATATCATCGCAATATTACAGCAACAATGCTAACAGTTGTCTGCAAGCGGTAAATAAAAAATTAAACATAATTGAGCGCACACCCCGCTATCAAGACATCTAAGTGTTTTCGTTAACCGACATTTTAGCGCCTGTTTATGCTTTCTCGACTTATATAGCCTTGTATATGCACACGTAATATATCGTAACCATTTAATGGCCGATAATGCCCCGGAAATAGGCAATAATTTCTGCTGCTACCCATCATCAAGCACACCTAAAAGTAGGCATGCAAAGCACGTTTAAAGCATAAAAATCGATTTTTCATAACTTTGGAAACACGTTTCATTAGAATGTTGTCTTTTGTTTTTCCTTTAGCTTGCAAAGAATACAAAAACACGAAACAAAATCAATGTCAATTAAAGTTCGGAAAGAGAACAAAAAAACAACAAACACGTTTAATAATGTTTTATGAACTAGTCAAGGTCATGCAGATATAAGAAAAATTTCAAACGCGCACACACAATCCTTAAAATTTATTATTCGTTATAAGTTTTCTTCCTTTTTCTTTTTGTCCTTTCCTTTTCAGTTTATTATAAACTTTGTTCAGTTAATGCACTATTACCCAAAAATAAAGAACAAAAAGTTAACTGTTAACTTGCAGACAGTTATCTGTACGTACATGTATGTATAGACAGATGCAGCACATAGAGACACAGTCGCAAGTATAGACAGACAGCTGAGTATACAACACGACCATTATAAGCATAATATATAATGTGTGTATTGGTGGTGATAAATACCCGTGGGATTATCGTCAACATTACATGCAAAGTTACTTTACTGGAAATTATTGCCGAATGCTGTCTGTCTCTATTTTTGTTTCTTTTCTTCAGCAAAGTGTTGCATTACGTTTTTAAAACCGAATTTGATTGTGGCCTACCGTGAAGATTAACAGAAAGCAAGTTACTTTGAATCATTTCATATTAGCTCGTGTACCATAATTGATTGCATGAAGATGCATTGACTCGACATATCGATCGTGCACCACATTTGACTTATGATATACATATGAAATCGTGTGTTTGTGTAATTTTGCAGAATAAAAAACCATATCATACCTTACCATAAATATTGAATTATCCATTTTGTGATTTCGAAAGTAAACTTTAATAAAACAATCTTCTACTTGAGCTTTGGATCAAAGTTTGCATTCACTTTACTGTTTGGACCTTGCCATTATTTACGGAATACAAATACATTGATATGTCAAGCGTTGTTGAACGACCCATATTGTTATATGACAAACATTACGCTAAGCCATGATGCCCTCGTTGACATACATGTTACTGAAATAGGATTGTCAAATCTAGACCAAGAAATGGTTAATCGTAAGTTTCCTCTCATATATAAATGATTTGTGTAGTGACTTCTAATGCCGTTTATTTTGGGACTGAGTATCATGACTACGTTCAGAAAAAAACACCTAAACAGAAATGCCCTAGAAAACCGAAACTTATCAGGGACGGGCTTACGGTTCGCGTAGGGCAATTAACAGCCAAGAATTGGTATTTTGATCGAACACTAAAGTTAAGATCCCAAGTCTAATAAATCAAACTAATTATTATACATTACAGCACTTGTGGTACAAGAGTATATTAAGTTTGTGTGGATGTATACAACACCCAAAAAGATTGGAGATAGGATCCCGTTTATTATACAGACCGATTCGGAATCACTTTCTGTCCGTTTGCCTGCCTGTCAATTTCGTTCTCTTATGTTCAATCTGCAACTTGCAACCTGTCGCAACTATTGAGATATATTAATGAAATCCGATACACCGACATGTCTCGGCCTAAGACGAGTGCTATTGAAAATCGAATCATTTTCTCGATCACTTCCCGCGTGACCGTATTAAGCGTATTAAGCGAAATGATGTGGGGTATTTAATGGTGGACACTGTCTCAATAATTTTACCTGTTTTAGCCAA